CTAAATAGTTATGTCTGTTTTGATGCCCAAAGCCTAAGGCATCAGCAGGCAACAAACATATGATTCGTTACACTGCACCCACGAGGTTTTTCACCTGATTTAAATGCGTGTATGGACCTCCGAAGCCTCAGGGGTGGAAATATTGTTCTTCAGATAAGTAGGCTATTTTTAATTTCCTCGCTTCCAACCCCATTGCGCACATCCAATTCTTTACTCCCACACATCCCGAGGTCGTTGGCATCCAGTAGTCTCTATTCCTAACGTCAGTTTGTGGATGGAAAACCCTGGGTGTCTGGTGTCTCTTCAGATCCATGCGCTGACTGCTCGCAGGTTCTTGGGTCTCTCAACATTGCAGTTTGGTCGTTTTATAATAACTTTTATTCAAGTTGGGTTCTCAACTACTCTGAAGCGGGTTGTGCCTAGAAATTTACCTCGTCTGGTTCTACCTCGCGGATAGGTTTGAAAATGCGGTTTGCGATTTCTGAGAATTTTGATCGTGCAAGGCATTGTGTATTCGGGCGCAATATATTCGATAACTTGAACATTGCAATTCCCAGGGAGGGGTCAATGTGTGGGCGTAGAACCCTGGATAGAAAGGGGCGAGAACGATTCAGAGCGCGGGACTCCATATGTTGAACGCGTTGTTGGTAGAATTCTTACTTTCCAAACTCTTTGACCACTTCGTTGACAGATTGATATCAACTTGGAACGTGAAGCAGGCTACGGAGCGACTTCAGGCACGACAAATAGGTCGTCACATGATCCCAAAGTAGCACATCAAGATCGTGGCTAAAAATAATATTATGATGGGAATTCCTGTGGGGCGAGGACACAGGTCTCACCAGTCTAGCCACAAGGATGCAGGCTTACCCTAATATGCATGATATGAATAATGAGCCCAGCCAAGCAGCTCCAGGCAGCTAATTTCGTATTCGGGATAACCGTCTCCACAGTGCCTGTTTCGGCATGCCCAGGCCATGGCAGTGCGTACACATCGTTGGCAATAAATTACATTCAATATTGATAGGGATCCCCTGAATTTGTTGTGATTGTTGTTGTCACAATCTTCCGGTTCGACAACTCTGTCGACACCATGCGACATGAAGGTGATGGAGTGGCTAAAGCCATGGCTGCCCCTTTTCACACCGTCTCAGATAAGGCACGGTCAAGTGTGGCCTACTCGAAGTCTGCACTCCACATAAATGGCCAATATGTTGAACTTGACGATTTCAATGCGCCAGCCGACCCGATTCCACCTCAAGGTCGATCCGCCGCTTCCAAATCTTCTCGCAGCAAATTCTACTTCCCTAATACTCTCTGGTCTCGCTTATTTGCTATTATCGGGCTTCTCGAGACATTTTTTACTGTCGGCATTGAAAGGTAGAGTAACCACGTCATCCATCCTTCCCCCTCAAAGTGCGCCGATCCTGACATGAGCTCTTTTGTATAGTTGGGTTTTCATCAGCGTTTCAAGACGATTCAACGAGTATGACAACAATGACGGTACATTACGACTTCGGTCTTTCCTTGGCCTTTACATCTTTGCTCTTGTCTACGAACTCGCCCTTTCCTACGATGCGCTGAAGCGCAAGAATACATTTCAATTGGTTGGACTTTGCCTATGCAATTTCGGGCTCTTCGTGTACGGAGTTGTCCAGATGAAAGAGATCAGAGAGACCATAAGTGGTTTGTCAATAAGCGAAGCTTCTGGGAATCTACTCTGGAAACACTACCAGATAGAGCTCATCCTGATCCCTGTGTTTATTGGGGTCTGTACAATTGCGATGATCTTCGTGACGTGGAGGTTGCGGGCCGAAAACTCGTGGAATATCTACCAGAGTATGAGCGCCGATTTACAAATGAATCGCCGCTATTTCACATACCAGGTTGGAATTCCCTTCTTGAAAGATGTTCGAATGCTATCTAACCTAGCCTTAGGTCTATATTGCCCTACTGAAATTCGATTTCTTCTTCATATTCGGTACACAACTCCAAGTCCTACTTGCGATGAACGACTTCAAAGACCACGATTTCATATTACAGTCTGCTATGATTCCGGTATCGATTGTTATTCTCATCCTAGGAGCCCGGTTCTGTCGATTGGAGAAGAAGAAATCGCTTTCTGTCATTATGGTAGGGACTCTTCTGGTGGCTTTGACAACTCATGCTAAACCCCATTCCAGATTTTTATGCTTGTCATTGCGGGGACTTTCGTATTAGTGATTCTACAAACATACTCCTCGTCGAAAAGTAACAACCTAGCTCACTTCAAAGTGTCTCTGACCTTATTTTCTGGACTGGCAATACTTTTACTCGGTATCACCATTGTTAACATGGTGATCTGCATGGTCAACTTTGGGAAAGGGCTGAAAGAATACATCAACCACTCCGATAAGAAGAACTTGAAGCAGACTCCAGACCCAGAGTACCAGGGAAATGTGACTGGTAAACAACGGTTTGTCCTCACTTGATGGCACGAAATCGAACCCATGGTTCAGTATGATACAAATGTGAACATGTTTCTTTGCAATGGTTCAATCTATGGATGTAGAGGGAGCTCACATTCTAGCAATTCGCCTACGAGTAGAATTTCCCGAGACAATTGACCAATAAACTACCCGCCAAAGCAGGGATTGACAATAGCTACCAAGCTCCATGTTCTAGCTAGCGGCTTTGGCCACCTCGCTTGGTCCTCCGAGATCTTCAAGCGGGCCAATGCTTACGCTTATTTGGCCGACGAATAGCGCTGTGGTTAAGCTTCCCTACACTGCGGGACTACCCACGACAGCCCGAGTATAGGTTATACATGGTTATTGCCTCTTGCGACCGGGCACCATTTCCACTTTTTTTTTTCAAATCAATCAACAAAATAACGCGCAATGAGTTGCAGCCCCAGAAAAATCTCGTCTTGCCACCTCCGGCCATCGGGCAAAAAAAATTCCCGTTTGGCCTCCGCAAAAAGAATAAAAAGTGGAGCGTTCGGCGCGGCTCGCCCAATAACTTCGGGCTCGGTGGGTGCGATTCCGCGATGCGAAAAAAGACTCCCGATGTCGTGATCTGCGCCGGTTCAAGGTTTCGGAGAAAAAGACAGAAAGAGCTACATCTCCCACATGGTTCTTGTCTTGTGTCTTCTGTCGGTTTTTTTTTCACTTGCATGGGGAAGTTCTGAGCATACCCTCAACCTCCCCCTCCCCTCCTCTCCAAATCGACCTACCAATAAACTAGCAAGATGGAAAAGTCCACTCTCGCCGAGGACACCATCCAGCCCGATCCCGCCAAATTCGACAATTTCGATGCGAACCCGAAGGATGAGCTTCAGATCAATGTTGGTGGTCGCGGTGCTACCCAGCGACGTCTGCGCAACTATCATGTCACCATGATCGGCTTCTGCAGTGGCATCGGTACTGGTTTATTTGTTGGTACTGGATCTGCCTATGCTAAAGCCGGTCCTGCTGGTCTGCTGCTCGCGTACATCGTTGTTGGAATGGTGCTGTGGGCTGTCATGCAGAGTATCGCCGAGCTAGCCACCCTCTTTCCGACCGCCGGTTCATTCCCTCACTGGGCCACACGCTTCATCGACCCCGCTGTCGGTTTCTCTCTCGCCATTTCATACGGATATTGTTACACAATCGCGATTGCATCTGAAGTGAGCGCAGCAGCGGTCATTGTCTCCTATTGGAGCGACATATCGCCGGCTGTGGTCATCACAGTTGGGTTGGTGTTGATATTAGCAATCAATTTGGGAAGTGTCCGGTTTTATGGAGAATCAGAAGTTATTGGAGGAGCCATCAAGGTCCTCTGCTTCTTGGGATTGGTGATCGTGTCTCTTGTTATCACCTGTGGTGGTGGACCAAATCACGAAACCATTGGATTTCGCTTTTGGAACAACCCTGGTCCGTGGACAAACTACAACGGTATTACCGGTCCAGCGGGCCACTTCCTTGGGTTCCTATCGTCCTTCGTCAACGCCTCATTCAGTTTTATCGGTGTCGAGACCGTCGTCATTTCCGCGGCCGAGTCGGTCGATCCTCATCGTGCTATCCCAAAGGCTGCCCGCCGCGTGACTTATCGCATTGCGTTCTTCTACATCCTCGGGGCGCTCCTAATTGGAATCATTGTTGATCCACGAACCTCGGCTCTTACGAATGCTGCATCCAACGCGAAAGCCTCCCCATTCGTCATTGCAATTACCGAAGCCGGAATCAGTGTTCTACCGTCCATTGTCAATGCTTGCATTCTGGTCGCTGCCTGGTCTGCGGGTAATTCATACTGCTGGGTTGGTTCGCGCATGATCGTGGCTATGACTACTGATCACCAACTCCCTCAATACTTCGGCCGCTGCAATAAGAAGGGTGTCCCCTACGTTGCTGTCATCGTATCCTGGCTCTTTGGCCCCTTGGCCTATCTGAGTCTTGGAACCGGTGGTGCCGCGCAAGCATTCAACTGGCTACTCAATCTCAGTACAGTTGCTGGGCTGATCGCTTGGGCAACGCTCTGCTACTGCTACATCCGCTTCTATGCTGGAATGAAAGCCCAGGGCGTTTCTCGCGATACCTTGCCCTGGGCCGCGCCATTTCAACCATACACGGCGTGGTTCGGCTTCGTTGGCTCAACCATTATCACCCTGGTGGCAGGATTTCCCGTCTTCTTGAAGGGCAACTGGGATACTTCCAGCTTTGTTGCCTCCTACATTGGTATCCCAATCTTTATCGTGCCGATCATCGCCTGGAAGCTTTGGCATCGAACCAAGTATGTGCGGGCCTCTGCTATCGACCTTTGGTCCGGCCGTCTACAGGAAGGCGAGATTTCGCCTCGCAAACCTCCCAGCACCACATTCTGGGGACGTTTCGTCGACTGGCTTGTTTAGTTTTTTTTTTCGCATATTTGCATATCCATAGCACGATACCACGTCAATAAGACACAGCGATTTCAATTTCAACACATTGATACATTTATTTTTCAACCGGTTTCGTAGCCGATTCCCTATACAAATTTTCCAATCATGCAGCGGTAAACTGCTCCCGAAGCTTCTTGATATCCTTGTGCGAGGCTTTGCAGCAGCCGCCTACGATGAAATGCTGGAAGGGGCCCTTTGCATTGGCATCGCTAACAACCTGCGCAAGTTGGACTTCCCAGGGGCGCTATTCTCGAGTCAGCAAATCTCCAGTAACGAAATCATGGACCGCCTATACTAGAGCGCACTTACAACATCCTGATTATCACCCTGTCCCTCTGGCCTCTCCCAAGTTTGCGTCGTAGTATTATAAACCTCTCCATTCGTTCCATCTGGGTACAGGATGAGACTCGGAACCGCCGAGGCAAGACCCGTAGCAATTGCATCCTTCACACAGGCCCCGAATTTGTCGACCAACCCCGAGAGCTTATGAACTTTCGTGCAGTTCATACCGATTCCCAAAGGCACAAGGGCTCCTTCCATCGGGGCAATTGACGCCTCAACAACCTGTTCGACACTGCTCCCATCGGGAAGGCACTCATCCTCCCTAGGAAATACACAGGCGATCCAAAAGGGCGCCGTGATTCCCGAGTCATGAATTGCCCTCCGCACCGCACGCACTTCATCCAACCGCGGCAATGTCTCAAAAGCAACATATTGAATCCGCGAGGTCAAATCCTCCCCTTCGACATTCTGAAACAACCGCAATCTCTCCAAATGCCACCGATAAAGGTTTTCCTCATCATCGTGCTCTGCATCATAAACACCCCCGTACTCCTGTCCGGGAATCATACAAGCACCATAAGGTCCAAGGCTCAAAGCTATCTTTGCTGAATCGCGCACTTTCGAAATTTCCGCGACCTCCACGGCTGTCCGCAGGAATCGACCAACCTCAGACGCCGGGATCCCTTCTGGGAATTCGGCCGTCTTTGTGTTTTGAAACCCTCCAGTGTAGATTTGATAAGTCGCAGTTAAGAGGATGTCCACGCCTGCCTCACCAAAGTCGGATTGACAGGCTTTCAGCGTTTCGGGGTTTGAGACCAGGAGGTGGGAGGCCCAGAGAGGTGTGTCTGCGCTGGAGAAGTTCACGCCATATTTGTCCTGCAGAGAAGTTCCCAGACCACCGTCAAGGATTTGTACGGAGGCCATTGCGCACTTTTATGTATGAGTTTTGGGTTTGTAAGGGTGATTGTAGTTGGAAGGCGGGGTGTTGCTCTTTTTGATAGTGTGGAAGATTCCGTTACATAAGCTTTTTTTCACCACGCCCGTCGCCTGTCAAAACAGAGATGATATGATCTTCGTTTCGATGTGTCAGCAATGTTATGGGAGTTGTCGAAATTTTAGAGGCCTCTGTTACAAAGGCTACAGATAATTGAAGATCTAAGATCGAAGTTAATCAAAACGGCCTTATCCAGGTTATAAAGACCTCGGGGCGGTGCAATAAATCTACACTGGTCACGATGAGTTCCAAATAATTTTCGATCAGTAATCCTATTTCGTCTTAATCCATATATCATAGTCAGATATTTATAGTCTAGTACTATTACTCCCTATATTGGTGCTGCTGAGCTAATTTTAACCGTTCAAGATTCTTTGTCTCCAAGGCTACAGTAAATCTCAGGCTGAAATGTTCAAATTTCAAGTTCTATACCATTAAACTGGAATACTTCAAATGTATATAGAAAGCAGATGAAGCCAAGTACCAAGCTATTTCTGGCATCTATCAAGCAAAAGAAGGATGGATCTTACCGCAAGCTCGATCGGAGATTCTTTCCTTCATAAGAGCCTCATAAACGTGCGCTGCCCACGAACAACAAACTTGCCTGGTGTCCTTGGGATCAATAATCTCCTCGACGCCAAACGCATTCGCGGTTCGAACAGGATTCATAAGGCGTAAATACTCTTCTTCTAACTCTTTATATCGCTCCTCTTTCTTTCCAACCTTCTCCGCCTCACGCAACTCATGCCGGTGCCCGACCTCAATTCCACCATCCAGTGGCAGGGAACCCCATTGACCGGAAGGCCAGGCAACTTGCATGACGGGGTCGCGAGATCCAAGCATCACGCCTCCTGCAACACCAAACACACGGCGTGTCACCACATTGAAAATAGGTACAGTGGTAGTGTAGTACGTCTTCGCCAATTCAACTCCCCAGCGCATAGTTGCGGTGCGTTCAGCGACGGTGCCGATGGCGTAGCCGGCTAGTTAATGTTAATGTCAGAGTTATTTTGGAACTATGCAATTGGGAGTTAAGAAGTTGCAATACTTACGGACGTCAAGGAATTGCAGAATCGGCAAGTTCATCACATCGCACATCTTGAGCAGCCGAGTCAGTTTCTGGCTCCCGGCTGCGTCAAGTGCACCGCCATTTACTTCGCAGTTCAGCGAGATCACGCCCACGGGGTGTCCTCCCAAACGCGCAAGTCCACCGATAGCAGTCCGACCCCACAGGGCACCAATCTCAAACCAAGAGCCTTGGTCAACGACCGAGGTGATGATTGTTCGAGGGTTATACATGCGAGCTTGTCGGCGAGGAATGATACTGCGTAGGGCGACATCCTCTCGATCCACAGGATCATCGCATGGGATAACCGGTGGAGCCTCACTCCCAGCGTTCGGAAGATATCCCAGCACTGTGCGTAGCTGTTCATAACATTCGGCCTCGTTCGCAGCTAGGTTATCGATCGTTCCATTCATACAGTGAACCATCGGGCCACCCAAATCCTGGAAATCCAACCCTTCCTCAAAGGTCGCGCCCTCGACAACCTTTGGTCCGGCATTAAAAAGGGCTCCAATATCTGCTGCCATGACTGAGAAATGACAAGAGACCACCCTAGCGGCGCCAAGACCGATCTATACCAATACCATTAGTACCCTGTAGTAAAAGAAAAAAGACTTTCCTCTCATCAGGACGACATACCGCAGGTCCAACAACAGCACCCAAATTAGGAATTCCCATATTCAACTGTTGAATAACTGGTTTGAAAGGAGCAACATGAGGTAGATAACTCCACCCTTCCTTCTTGATAGTCGTGACGCTACCACCCCCAGAGCTTCCATCAACAAGCTTCACAACAGGAACCCGCAGTGCAATCGCCAACTTCTCGACATATACAGTCTTCCCCGAGCTTGCACCATCTGCATGTCCAGACCGAATGCTAAAGTCATCCGCCGTAAGCAGAACCTTTCTTCCGCGGAGCGTACCCCGCCCTTGAACATTATTGCTCGGAATAAAAGACACGGGCTCCTCGCGCATTGGTGCTGTCTTCTTCCACGTTACAGTTCCTGATACAGAGCCTATCTCAGTGAATGAACCAGGGTCAAGAAGCTGTTCGATACGCTCGCGGACCCATAGCTTTCCTGCTTGTTTTTGCCGCACATAGCCTCTGTGGTTGGGATCTGGCGTTGCGGCAATCTTGCGAAGGGCAGCAATTTGTCCCAAGACATCGGAGTGGTCTACTGGAAGACGTGATGCTGTGTCTTTCTCCTTCTTTTGTTCCTTTGGCGGGTCTGTGGAGAGATGCGAGGAAACCTGATTAAGACGCTGGGTGGCTTGATCGTTGCCATTTGGAGACGACTGTGACAAGTCACTGTCTTTAGCCATGATTGCAATTTTTTCTTTCGAGTAAGACGCTATCGCATAGTAAATTTTAGCTGGAAGGGCGAGTACCGGGGTAGTGATTGGAGATTGGACTCGGCTGGGGCTGGTTAAGATGCGAGTCCCGCTGAGGGGAAATTGAAGTCGGGGCTATCCGAGGACCTCGGCGCGTTTTTGCTGTCGTGTTATAAAGAAAAGTAACTCTGAACTGTCCCAACAAGTCTCGTCGCGCCAAATACGTGTCTCTTATACTGCCGATAGTTTTCTTTTGATCGGGTGTCTTCATATATACTGGCTGAGAGACTTGTCTGCGACTTTTGCTACCCCGGATTTTTGTGACGCCATGTCGTCATCCCCGCATTCACGAACCATCAAGCGATTGCTGGTCGCAAACAGGTGTGTCACTCTTAATCACATTGTATACATATTAGCATGTATTGATCCCATTCGACAGAGGTGAAATTGCTGTTCGCATATTACAAGCCGCACGGGAACTGCCTGAGCCAGTCGAGATCTTCGCTCTGTACACGTCTGATGATCAGTCACACTGTGAGATCGGACGCCCACATCATGCAATTCAGATCCCATCTGCGTCATCCTATTTGGATATCACCCTGCTCGTTGATCTAGTACAGAAGCACTCCATTGACGCAGTCCACCCTGGGTATGGCTTCCTCAGTGAAAGCGCCGAGTTCGCGCACCGCATGTTTGCAGAAGCGAGGGCTATTGTGATCGGGCCTGGTCCTGAGAATCTTGCACGTACCGGCGACAAACTTCAAGCAAAACTATTGGCTCAAAGATGCCAAGTCCCTGTATTAGAAGCCATGAATCAACCAACAGCCAATGTTGATGAGGCGCGGGCTTTTGCCCATCGGGTTGGTTTTCCCGTCATGATCAAGGCTGTGGATGGCGGTGGTGGACGGGGAATTCGTCTGGTTCACGAGGACTCAGAGCTAGACAGTAGTGTCCAGCGTGCCATTGGAGAATCACCCTCTCGGTCGGTCTTTGTGGAAAAAGCCGCTGTGGATGGATTCCACCATGTTGAGATCCAAGTTATCGGCGATGGCATGGGACAAGTGCGACATCTCTGGGAACGAGATTGTAGTGTGCAGCGACGCTTTCAGAAAGTTGTGGAATGTGCACCTGCCTTGATGAGGGATAGAGATTTGGTGTCCAAGGTCATTGACTCGGCTTTGAAGATGGCTACTGAGATTCGGTATCGCTCGCTGGGGACATTTGAGTTCCTGGTTAATGAACAGAAAGGGGAATTTTACTTTTTGGAGGTCAACCCACGACTTCAAGTGGAGCATACTATCACAGAATCTATCAGTGGATTGGATTTGGTGCAGATGCAACTTCTTCTAGCACAGGGAGCAACGTTCGAGGATCTTGGCCTGGGCACGGAGGTCAATTCGAAAACGCCTCCCCGAACAGCTTCTCAATCCAGCTTCGGATATGTGCTGAGGACCCAAGCAACAACTTCTCTCTGAGCATTGGAAAGGTGACCGAATTCGTCGTTCCTAGTGGGAATGGAATCCGCCTTGACACCAATGTCAACACTTCCAATGGAAGTGCGTCAGTAGTGGGATCAAACTTCGATAACCTTCTCGCCAAAGTCATTCTCACTGCATCTAGCTGGGAGGCCGTTGTCCGAAAGGCCCAACGAGTTCTGTTAGATTCGAGAATCTCTGGCGTGAAGACTAACATCGATCTTCTCCGTGGCATCGTCTCGCATCCGGACTTCGTAGTCGGCCATGTTGACACGCGGTGGTTAGGGCTCAAACTTGACGAAATATATCATTTGGGACAACGCATCGCAAATGCTCAGCCCGGTGGTGAAACCGTCAGATCTATTTCTCAACAATCGTCATCTCAGGCTGGACTACCTGCCTCAAACCACTTGTTCCGGAAGGGAGACGCGTGGTCCATCACATTGGAGCCACTGACGAAAGATACCTCTCAGGAAGCTGCCAAAGTGACCCACCATCTTCGTTTCTCCCGTGTGTTTCGGAATGATTTCCCCACCTCCTTGGCTGCCGAGATTGAGTACACAACCCCTACATCTCAGACAGCGATTCCGTATCGAATGCAACTGGAAACCACCTCGACTGCGGCATCGGCTCTGGTCTCTTCCACACACCGACGAGGTGACCCTCAGAATCCCAGACATATTGTGCTACCTCTTTCCGGAAGGCTGATTGAGATTCTTGTTTCCGATGGGGAGAATGTAGTCGAAAATCAGGTGCTGGCCTTTGTCAAACAGATGAAGATGGAACTGGAGGTGCGGAGTCCCAGGGCTGGAAGAGTGGAATGGGTCCATGAAATGGAGGATGAGGAGGAAGATGTGGCCGAGGGAATGCTCCTTGTGGAACTGAATGAGCCACAGGAGAAGCAGATGCGAGGTAAGCTATGATAGAAGTAGATGAGATAGTGTTTGCACATCCCGGTACATCTTTAGACAGTAGAAGACTCATATATCCATACTTCAGGCCACAACATGTCAACTAGCATCATTGGTCTAGTGGTAGAATTCGTCGTTGCCATCGACGAGGCCCGTGTTCGATTCACGGATGATGCATTCTTTTTTGTTGTTTTCCTCTCTTCCTTGATTTTAATGTGTTATCTTTCTCTCTCCCCCCACTTATCTTGTTTAGTGGCTGCACGATCGTACTTGTCTTTTTTGCCGTAAAACTAAACTCTATTGGATTGCCTTGGTTGATCCACTGACAAGGCACGTGGTTTTAACGACGTCACCGCTACTTACTTCGCGCTGAACTTGGCCCAATCGATTCTCCAACTCATAGCCGGCATGGAAGATTTGAGTCTCTACATTCTGACAGCGAACTGTGCGAGGGATCGTATCGATGTGGATCTATTCGCTGACCACTTTTTCGATCCCTTGATCAAAGCAGGTCAAGGTTTCAACGCTCCAGAGCTGATCGTGCTCTCTCTTCAGGAAATAGCTCCCATCGCCTATTCTTTTCTAGGCGGTTCATATCTGATTCCTTACTTTGATGCCTTCGTTCAAACGGTCAAACAAGCTACTGCGAAGCAATTCAATGAGTCCTACGAGAGTGTGGTCAAGGACCATACGGGTATGACCGGTTTGATGGTCTTCGCCCGCGCCGATGTCACAGATAGGATATCCTGGATTGACACTGCGCACGTCGGATTTGGAGTTCAAGAGATGGGCAATAAGGGCGCTGTTGGGGCTCGTCTAGGGTATGTGGTGGACGACCATTCGGCCAAGACTGTGGACTTAACCTTTGTGGCCGCTCACCTGGCTCCCATGGAGGATGCACTGGAGCAGAGGAATTTGGACTGGCAGAGCATCGTTGAGCGCCTTGTCTTCTCACAGCAGCACCCTTCCAACAGTGAGATCAAACATGGTGGGCCCAGTGAGGGAACAGATGAGAATGCCGCGCTACTCGGAGAGCACCGATCACCAGATCAACCGGAGGGCACCCGCAGGGATCTGTTTGCACCGAATTCCTACCTTTTCCTGGCAGGAGACCTGAACTACCGCACATCAGATGTCGGTCCGTCCAAGACTGATGTACTCCGGTTTCCTCGCCGGCTTGTTAATCGCGAGGATATCTCGCACTATTCCCACCTTCTCAAGGAGGACCAGCTGATGCGGGAGATGCGCCAGGGCAATAGTTTCCATGGCCTCTCAGAGGCGCCTATTGACTTCCCCCCAACATACAAATACTCCGATGCGGCCCGCCAAGCGGCTCGGCTTGGAGTCGACAGTGGAGATGCCGAATGGAAGTGGTCGAGCCACCGTTGGCCCAGTTGGTGCGACCGTATTCTCTTCCTGGACACGCCGTCTTGGGCTGGTCAAGATGCGAGTGATCGACGGGTCAAACCTCACACGTACGACGCGCTCCCCTTTTTCCCCAGTCGGACCATCGCCCTGTCGCGCTGGCTGTGTCTGTGCCTCTACCTCCATCTTTGCAACACACATCCTCGTCCGAATTAGATCACATGAGCCCCTCCCCCCGAAGGCTGGCTCCATTCTCAATCGACCCCCACTGGAGGTCTCGACGGGATACTGCCCGGCGGAAGGAGGTAGCGGTGGGATTGCTGGCCTACCTGGGCTTGACTTGGGAAGGGAACGGACTGCTTCTTGCATCGACAATCGGAATCATCGGTGCATGGATAGTACTTCGTTCGTTGTGGGATGTCTGAGTGGACGATCTGACACAGCTGTATAGCATTTCGGGATCCTGGCTCTTTTAGGGAAGATCACAATAATACGACTCTTTTTTCTTTTTTTCGACCAGGTTGTGACATTGTAGACAATCTTGCAGGCCTCGGCATCGGCCGAAGGGCAAAAGGAACAAAGCATCAGCAGCCTCCAAAAGCCCTTCAAGCCTCCAGCCGCAGGTCAAATGACGTCTATCAGATAACCCTCTCTTTCCACCACATCTCCACGCCAGTCCACATCTAGCGACGGGCCGAAGGATGAGGTAGCGCAGGGTTCACTAGTGGCCGGTTTTCCAAGATTTCCCTCGTCTCAAAACAGTCACATGAGGCGGTCCCAAATGGTCTGGCCGCCTCGCTGGCTGTTGGGTGGCTGGGGTTGCGGAGGCATGAGGTCACCGATATTCGCTGCTCGCGACCTTCCACCCAGGCCCACAGGACCCCAGGTGGCCCAGAGCTCAGAATTGCGCGCTTGTCATCATCCTGGCTGCAGTGTCGGCCTGATTCCTGCTGTCGTAGTAAGGTTTACATGCCCCGGTCACACGGGAGGAGTGTGACTGTCCAGACGCCCAGGCTGCGGCGGTCCAGATTCAGAGGCTCGGGTTCCACCACCCGCCTTCTGCGCCTTCGATCGTCTTCTAGACTCTCCGTCTCCTCTTCTTTCTGCTTCTTTCTGGGCCTCTTCTGTCCACTCCGCCGTTATCCGTCGTTTCCATCCTTGGGCTGGTACGGTTCATTTGGTGCCTGACCCGCTGGTCCACACGTTCTTTTGCGGTCCGCGACATCCGAGTTACGGGTGTCTGCTAGATAAACACTGAAAAGTGTTATAGGTGTGTGTGCAGTATGCAGACATACTAGAATGATCAGTTCAGTCATTTTTGCATGCATTCGGAGGTGAGGTGGCGCTGATGCGACAGCTCTTCAAGGCAGGAGAGGGCCAATGCAGAGCGAGCTCCGCGGGGTGCCGTCGCAACCGTAAGATTCTCAAGCGCAGAGCCGTAAGCCACCTGAGCCAGTCAAGTGACCTAGACTGAGCTTAATGCCCTGGGAGCACATTGGACATCTACGTTCCCTCCCGATTGCCGTTTCCAAGCTGTGCGACACGCGGTGCTGACGAAACTGTAATTTGCCATGGCTGGGCAGGCGGGGCATGGAGCAACAAAGAAAGTAGAGAGAAAGAAGAGTGGTTAGAAAGAAAGGGGACAGCCATCCGAGGGTTTCAGCCATAAGTCAGTATTCTGTAGTATACCCTAGAACTATCCAGTGGCAAAATCACCGTCAAGCTTTATTGAGTGCCGGAGCTGTCAAACGGATGCCATTGCCTAGGCTCTAGACTAGAAGGACGGCCGGAAGACCGATCTCCAGCTGTACTCCGTACCCGTACCTTGGTTGTCGTTCTTTTTTGTTCTTTTTTTTTTCTCATGTTTTTTTTTTTCCGGAGGGCTCCACCTCCAATCACAAAATGACAGGAGTGACAAGGAGTTAATTGATCTACGAATCAAGACTTGGAAAAGGCACAGAGCAGAGAAGCTGGCACTGGTATTGGCAGGGGTGACCAACCCAGGCCAAGTCTGATGGTCACCCCAATGCTGATATAAATGCAACTGCAAATACAAATGCAAATGTAAATGTAAATGCAGCAAATGCAAATACTCGTACCAATCAATACCAATGCGCAGGGCTCGGAAAAGTGCAGGCCTGGACGTGACCGAAACAGCGTGCAAACCATTGGCAAACAGGCCCGAACGGGTTAATTCAGAGGAGCTAGGCAGACTAACGCGTGAGTGGGCGCGCGGTGGGGATTCCAGTTTTCCAGAACACTGCCCGATGCGCATGTCCAGACTCAGGCTCAGGCTCAGACTCGGATTCCCACTCGGATCCTGGCAGGATCGCGCAAGTTACAGAATACGAACACACTCGTGTTAGGGCATCAACTCGAAACAGTTGGAATTGAAGGGAATTGAAGGCGGGAAGAGCCCCTCCGCCCCTTTTTAGGGGCTACTCTCTACTCGAATTCGCCTCTACTCTACACTCTACACTCAATACAGAATCCCCGACAGTCCTTTACCCTAGAGACTGAACTGCCACGTCGGCACTTTGGACCGCTCGTTCACTCCGGCACTCAATCTGAGGCACGGGCAACGTTGCGAGACCTCCCTCCCTCGGTGTATGGAATTCGGTCAGCTGTCTAGAGCTCCACCGGGTCCCTGCAATCAACCATCACGACGGGCTGTGAGTCTGCGAGTCATTCCAAAGCGATTCGGCCCAGCGCGCGCATTCTTTTCTTCGCAGTCTCCGTTGCCATTGGCCCACCCCTTCTAGTCGGCAGGGCGTCATGCATTGACGACCAGCATCTAAGCAGATCAGAAACCCGCATTGCCGGGTCGAAAGAAGGGGATCGACCGATCTGCCTTGGTGTGCGAACGGAGCCCACCTGGCCAAAGTACGGGACATGTCACTGACAGCGCGGAGGAGATGACAGAAATACGGAGGATGTGCAGTTGCAGAGGACAAAGGACCGTGGATTGCAGAACTCCGTTTTCTCCGTAGTCTCTGAAGTCTCTGTAGTACTCGTAGTAGCCAGCACCAGTACTCCCTCTGAGGTAACTAGCTGATTGGAAAATACTGTAGTAATCAGAAAGGAGAGAGAGAGAGAGAGAGAAATAAATGGAAAAATAATAATAAATTTCCAAAAGGAAAAAAAAACAGGGGGAAACAGAGAGGGGAGTCATGAAAAATAATAATAAAATAAAATAAAAAATAATCCCAAAAAAAAAAACTGGAGCAAACAACCCCAGTCTACAAACGGCTTCAGACCGTAAACCCGTAACAATGGAACCCTAAAAATTCTAGTTCATTTCCATTTCCATTTCCATTTTTTTTTTTTAAAAAAAAAAATATTCCCTCCTTTTTTAGGTAGAATGGCAGCTTGAGCCTCTTGAGATATAAACCCCCCCCTATTGCCCACTCCCTTTCCTACACTATTTTCCTGCACCAGTACTACGAGTATACTACTTGACTACCTGACTTCTGCTATCGGACTACCTAAAAGTGACTTTCTCTGCCACATTCACCTACCTCGACGTCATCTCTCTTCCCCCCTCTCTCGGCCAATTTTAAAGTTCCAAGCCTGTTTAGCTTCGAATTTCCTTCCCCTTTCGGAATTTCTTTAAGATCAAAGAGGATCCCCCTCCTCCATCCGCACCG